ACGGTGTCGAATAATTTCGTGTCGAATCGTACGGTGTCGAATAATCTGGTGTCGAATCGTACGGTGTCGAATAATTTGGTGTCGAATAAATCTTTGTCGAATCGAGCGGTGTCGAATCGTACTGTGGTCAAACGGAACACGCCCCGAAGACTCGCCGGTAAGTTCTTCGAGACTTATTCGGTGACTCCGATCTCGATAAGCCGGCAAAGGAAGACCGCGTCACTCAGGCTCAGAGGCAGACAGCGAAAATACGGGCTCTGACCGCTCTGAATGTCACATGCAAGCGAAAACCTTCTGACCTGAAAATCAGGGCGGTAACACAGCCGTGTCCCCCGGATCAAACCAAGCAGACAGGAAGTATCCAGCAGGCGGTCTCCACGGTCGCCACCATCACCACCAGGGCCACCGTCCATGAACCACCACAAGACTCGATGCAAACATCACCGATTGAGATCAGCCCGTCCGCGTAGTAAATGTACACAGCGCGTCAGGAATTCGAAGAGTAAGCGCGGGGATCGGAGGGCACGCGAGCCGTACGATTCGTACGGCGCTTGTTGGCGAGCAATCGTTCCGTTTGCCCTCCAATCCCGCGCCTACTCTTTGAATGTGTACCGCACCGCGCGAAAATTTCGCGTGGACTTGCATGACGGCCGCTAAACACTGCGGTTTGAAAGCCGAGGACGGCTGAGGATGTGCCGTTGCATATCCCGTTCCTAAAAGGGGGTGATGTAACAATCCTTCTTTAACGCATCTTTACGGCCGGAAACCTGTCAACCTATCCGGCTCAAAACCCGGCGCTTTGCGCCAGATAAATTTTGTAAAAGACGGCAAATATAAAGTATACGCCGCCACTGCGCCGCCCGCACTGCGCTTCCCCTCGCGCTCCAAAGCAGAGCGTACCGTCCACACTGCGCGTTTACCGCGCCAAGAAACGCCAGCTGTTTCCCAGCCCGCACTGTGCGCCTGTCGCACCTCGCGCTAAGCAAGGAAACTCTCGCATTCTCCTCTGGCGGTTTTTCCCCGCCTCAGGAAAAACGACAGGACCAAGGGGTATAAATACCCGCTCGAAAAGATCGAAAGATCAGATCTTCCTGATTTCCAAAACAAGTTGCAACCAGGAGCAGCGTTACCTCGGTTGGAAAAACCGATAGACTCAATCCGATCCGCACCGAGAGAGTCTCGTTCTCTTAGCCGTGTAAAACGGCGCTCCAGCCTTTACTGAGAGAAACTTGTCTTCTTGTCGTGTAAAACGGCGATCATCACCAAGAAAATCCGTACCTTCGGCCGTGTACAATAGCATTCCCGTACGACACAGAGGAAACCCGCGTTTCTCTCTGTCGTATAAACGTACACAAAAGGAACTTCCGGATCTCTGCTAAACCGAGCGGTTTCTTAGCCGAATTAGCGTATACCGGCGTTCGAGCGCCTGCCGTGCGATGCGCTCTGTATTCTACGTATTATTACTACTTTGTTTCATTTCTTTGTCTCTATCTGTAACTCTATATTCTTTATGTAAAAATGAGTGTATGTAGCTTCAATGAATTTTTTAATGAACAAATGAATTTTTTGGCTGTTGAAGCAAAAATACAGTTTTTGGAGTGTGTATTTATTTGAATCCATTTATTAAAAATCTATAGTATAAAAGTTTTCAACCTTTTAATTAGGTCCTTATCAAATGCATGTCTACAAAAAATTAAGGTAGAATCCAATAAATGAAATTGAAAATAAGTAATCAAGAATCGCAGAATAAAAACAATATATAAAAGTTACTTACAAAAATCTTAGCTATTATACGTCGCTGAGTGCTGATCGTGGATGTCCATGTTGCACAAGTCCCGACCAACACTTTACAAGAGTGAATACGCGACTGAGAAACAAACGTGTGTATAAAGATAGAAATCAAATCTACAAATAACATAACACTTTATGATGTGTTATCGACAAACAGTAAATATGAATTGTCTAAATTTTCCGTGTCACATTATAGATTAAGTCCGCAAACTTGACTTCTTATATGTAGCATTTCTGATACCAATCTTTTGCTGTAAGATCTCTCATAATCTAATATTTCTACTCTGTCCTACTCAAATTCATGTGAGTATTGCAATCTGTGTTCAGTTTTTACAGATTTTTGACTGGAATTTCTATTAATGTGGCTTTTATGTTCTTTAATTCTGGTTTGTAACATTCTGCCAGTTTGTCTTACATACAAAGCTTCACATTCATGGCACTTGATCTTATATAAGAGTTGATACAGAGATGGTAGGCTCGCGATTACATCACTGAACTTAATTCCAAAAATTTAAATACATCTCTAACTATTCTTCCTAGAGCCTATGGAGTTTCTAAGATCCATAAACCCGGCAATCCTCTCAGGATCATTATTTCTTCTATTACTAGTCTTTTACATAACCTTGCTATGTTTTTACACAAAATAATTAGTAGTGTATATGTGTGTGTGTGTGTGTGGGAGTTCTAATTCAGGAGCTCCGAGAGGGGTGTGACGTCACAGGGGGAGGGGTGACGTCACACAGGGGTGGGGAGGGGGAAGGGTAATGACGTCATGCGGGGAGGCGGTATGACGTCACTGGTAGAGGGGGGTATGACGTCACACGGGGAGAGAAGGGGGACGCGCGGTGTGACGTCACAGGAGACGTCACAGGATATGACGTCACATGATATGACGTCACATGATATGACGTCACGCGGAAGATGACGTCACACGGGGGCATGGCTCTGACGTCACGCGTGAAATGACGTCACTATGACGTCACACGGGGTCGTGGCTCTGACGTCACAGGATATGACGTCACGCGTGAAATGACGTCACTATGACGTCACGCAGGGGCGTGGCTTTGACGTCACAGGATATGACGTCACGCGGGACACTATGACAACGTGGAGCAACAAAATGACGCTACGCAACAATATGGCAGCGAGCTTGACGACGTCACATGGCAATATGGTGGAGCGTGCAATGACGTCACGCAACAATATGGTGACAGTAGTACGACGTTGGGACACTATGGCGACTCCAAGGTATGTACGTTTTATATAATGGATAGAAATAATTTCTGGGTGCACAAACAATATATATTTTGCGTCAGCAAATGTTCTATTTTGTTCTTCATT